TCTCTCTCTCTCTCTCTCTTTCTCTCTCTTTCTCTCTTTCTCTGTCTCTTTCTGTCTGTCTGTCTGTCTCTCTTTTTCTCTCGCTCTCTCCCCTCTTTCCCTCCCTCTCTTTCTATTTATATGTAAATAATTTATATATATATCGTACTGAACGCCATTAAGAATGCAACGTTCTCAAAAAGTCATTAAAAAAGCCAAATAATAATATTCTGATCGTCACGATTTTTGGAGACACAAGTGAGCAGTTGTTAGTCCACACACCCATGCACGATTTTTGCTGTTTCCAAGAGTACGTTTTATCACCATACAGTTAACTATGTCTTCATTAGTTGCTATATTACAAACGAATAAAAATAATTATTACATAAGTTATGCTGGTAGGTCATGATTTATCCTACGAGTGAAATTGCCACGTTGGAATCACGAGTTTCAAGGAGTGATAAACAACAGGCAATTTCACAAATAGGATAAATCATGGTCTGCCACCATAACGAGTGTAATAACTTTTAAAAAATACCATACTGATATCAGCTGGCGAAATAGATCCGGACCAACAAAGTGCAAAAGACCAGCCAATTGGACAAGAAGATCCATTCAAGAGTCTCTCAAGAAAACAAAATTGTCAAGCCCATCTGAGTCAGAGTGAGGATTGGAAAAAATCTCGATTGTTTTCTTTCATTTTTAGCCACGCTAATTTACATGTTGTGCTATCTGTATGCCCGCCTCCGCGAAATAAATCTCAAACAAAACAAAAATAACGTAAGCATACGCAACGCAAACAAAAAATGTACGATTCAAAAGTTGAAAAATTCAAGTCTTTGCTTACAAAAGGATAGAGGGCAAATATAGTGCGTGCAGTGATTATTTTTTTTAAAATTTCACATATGAGATATCAGCTTAGCATAATATATTTCAGGTGAAATATAAGGATAATATTATTATATTTTACCGGAAGTGCAATCCTGGAAGCTCTTTTCAAACGAAAGTCCCTGCTTTTTTCGATTAATTTTTTAAAAAATGCCTTTCATTACGAGACTCCTCAACTTAACGAAACTGAGCACTACTTTAGCTTCCGCCTTGTTCATGGCGGAAACTCTGCCTAAGAAGCAGCAATACGACTAACATGCAGTGCTTGTACTGTTCTCAACTTATACAAAGATTATAGCACACTTGAAATGTCTGGGATGGACAAAGAATAGGACAGTCTCGAGAGACCAGCCTTTGTCAAGAGAGGCAGAGTTTGCTGTCGCATCTGCGAAATCGTTTTGTTCCTCAAAAGTAACAGCTCAAGGCATGAATGGAGTGCGCGAAATTAATTTTTCTTTAATCAGTCTGAGGCATGAAGTAGTAAGTTCAGGACTTAGATCAAGAACACCTTATTTAGGATTGCAATTAACGAAGCCGCGACTACAACGCCGTCTTCACGAATCGAAACAGCCCGAAGAAAACCAGAATCTCTCAGTCATCTAACACCACACTCCTGCCCTTACACTGCCCATTTAGCAAACAGCACAGTTTCTGGAAGATTGTAACTTGAATGTCATGGACTGGCCAGTGTACGTACACGACATGTCTCCAACACCGCACTTAGGGGATGATGAACTGAACCGCAAAGCGTGTACCGTTTAGCGATTCTTGCAGCTATTAGGAGATCGCGCTGCCGCGAAAGTGGGACCGAGTTTCTAAGAAAAAACCCATTGAAAATGTTATAAGATCCCAGTGAAGAAGTGTTTTGGTCGGTATACATGTGTTAATGATGGCCATACAAATTACTAAGAGTGAAAGATCTTTATTAAGTTTCGATTTGTGTTACAACCCAATTGTAAGTGTCATACAATACAAACTAAAACGTGTATCAAAAATTTAACAAGCCAAATTTAAGAGCTACATATTTACTGTTGGCTTGCCAAATGAGAAGTGAATCAGTTTTTAAATAAGGAAATAAAATGGGACTGTAAAAGGTATACACAATCCAATTTGGCGGCCGTTTCCATAGCAACCGATTCACAGTAATACTTTTTGAACTACTGATTTCAAATCCCCAATACCATACAATGTCCAACAGCAAATATGGGCACTCTAGGAATTATAATAGCCAAAATAGACCTCAGGTGCCCCACCAGCCCTTAATGGTGTTCAGATATTATTATTATTATTATTATTATTATTATTATTATT